GAAGGGATGTGGGAGCTTTGGAGTGAGAGTCAGTATCTATAAACTAATATGAATTAGGGAAAAGAATGAGACTTTATGAAAAATCATAAACTAATATGAATTTATAAAGGAAGAAATGTATAGAGTTTTAACTTTAAGAAGAGGATAGTGAAGTTCAAAATTATTAAAGGCTATCCAGATATAGTAATCCTCACTTGAAAAAAGAAAAAGAAAAAGAAAAGAAAGGATTGAAAAAATCCTAAAAGAAAAAAAAGGAAAGCAAAAGGAAAAGAAAAGAAAAGAAAATTAGGTGAGGAGAAGCTTGAGGAGATGCCTAATAAAAAATTGGCTTCACTTGAATCAACTTAAGGAAGGAGCTTTAGCATTCTTAGTAAAGTTTTAATGAAGTTCTATTTCATATGAATGTTCTAAATGTCCTTAATATGACAAATTGCAATTCTTCTTGAAATGAATAGAGATTCAAAAATATTAAATTTAATTACTAAGTATTCCTAGACATAGAGTTTGAATCTAAGTTATTAAAGGTTTTTCTTAAATTTTGCTATTCTATTAATTAAACTAAAGTATAAAAGTAATAATTAAATCTCTATCCTAAGTCATATGCTTTTATGTAGTAAAGTGTCACTTGAGGATAAGTAACATTTAAGTTTAGAGGATTTTGATACACCAAAATAATATACTTTAAGTACATATTTTATGCTTATTTTTTGTGATATTATACTTTAAAGAAGGGTATTTTCATGTTTTTGTTGCAGGTGTATCATTTTTAGGCATTTGGAGCAAAAATGACAAAAAAGACAAAATTCAGAGCCAAAATAATGAATTTTGGAACTCTGGTGCATGATGCGCCGTTTGACAGAGAGATGGCAAATGATGCGCCAGAGACGACTTTCTGCAGATTAAGGCTGTTCGAGATAAATTTTGCACGAATTTTCAAAGGGACACTTGTTCTAAACACCTCTTAGAGTAATTCAATGCATCTAGATACTTTAGAAGGTTCTTTTATGAATGGATATGTCTCTTGGATCAAATGACACATCATTTGAAGTCAAAAGAGTTTACTTTTGGAGAATATTTTGGAGGGAATTTTGAATTCCTTTTGAAAGGAGGCAGCCCCTAATAAAAGAGGAAGACTTCAAAGAGTTGAGAGAGAGTTGGAAGGGGGATGGAAGGCAAGAAGGTGGTGGCGTAAAAGGCAAGGAGAGGAGATTTTCTTCTAGGGTTGTAAGAGGAGAGGGAATGTGAGAGTTTTCTTCTTCATTACACTTCTAAGAGAGAATTGAGTGTGTTTGTAAAGAGAAAAAGACTTGGAGAGAACTTCTAGGTATTTACTTAGATACAATTATATATAATATATTATTATATAAAAAGTGTATATACTTTTGTTTTATAAACTTATTTATATATATATTCCGTGTTTTGTCGTATCCTTCTCATGAATTCTCATGAATTTCATGAATTCTTAGCAGTCTTCTTTATCCTTCTCCCTACTTTGAGATATGGTTTTATGAAGAATTGATTTTGTTTTATATGGTTTTAAATGTTAATAATTTTTTATGATTTGAACTCAGATCTTCATTTATTTTTTAATCTGGCCAATTGAAATGTTAAAACATGTTGACAAACATATGTTCTGAAAAGGGATATGATTTCTACAACAAGAGGAGAGTCACATTTAATTTCATGGGAGAGTATGTCATCCATGGAATTGAGTGCAAATAAATAAGGAAATATACTTTATTGGATGTAGAATTGAAGATTTTAATGTGACATATTAAAATCCCCAATTTGGTCTAGTTTATTAGAATTTGATGTGAGATTGTATCCCTTAGGGGAGGGAGTAGTAGGAGCTCTGGAGTGGCAGCCGATATCCTCACAGCATAACAACAAAATTAGGTACCAAACTCTAGATTAGTCAATGTTCTTTATAACACTCGAAAGAGGGTAAAGAATCAGATTACTCTTATTTGGCACGAAACAATATATATATATATATATATATA